TTTACTCAATACTGTTGTTGTTATGGACACCGGATGCTCGATTAATTTTCAAGTTTGATTCCCGACACAACCTTTGCCTTCAAATTACCAGATCATCCCACAAGCAGCCATGAATCGATTTCGGATTGACCACCCGCTCCATGTCCAGCATCTCGAAGGCTCGCCTCAGCATCCCCGACGTCCGTAAGGCGCGACAGAAAGTGGAGGGGAGGGACGGTGAGCTGTTCGGAGTCGGAGGGGAGAGGGGAGAGGGTTGACGAGGCGACTGTAGGGGGAGGGGGGTTAGTTGGTTTGTGAGGGAAGGAGATGGTTGGGGTTTTGGTGGTTTTGGGGGGGAGGGGATAGGGGGGTTGGCTGGCTTACCCTACGCCGCGAATGTCTTTTTGCTCGGGGGGCATCGGCCAGCCGCTCATCTTGCCGGAGATGGGGGTGAATGTTGGCCATTCGCCCTTGGGCCAGCTGACGGCGGTCATGACGGTCTCGCGGCCCATGGGGTAGTGGAGGTATTCTGGCCCGGAACGGGTGGACAGGGCAACCGCCCACCTGGAGAAGGGTGTTAGTATCTTCCTAAGATTGCATGAAGCTCTGAGGTGGGTATCTTACCAGTTTCCATTGCGGTCGTGGAATAAATCAGCATGGCCAACGGTTTGGACTACGTCACGCTCAGTATCTTGCCGTTTAGCCCAGGGCTGACAACCTCACAGTAACTCGTCGTGTTGGCGTTGCTCAACACTGGGTTCTTAGAATACGACTCGTACGGCCCCGAGACCTTCTTTGACCGGGCCATGGTCACCATGTGATCCACTCCGGTGCCCCCTGGATTCCATTAGCTTCTACAATATAAAGTCTTGAAGTGTTGGCTCACCTTCGGCAGCCAACAGGTAGTACCAGCCATCTTTGCGGTAAATATGTGGCCCTTCCGGAGCCTAAAACTACAGTGAGTTCAAGACGTTTCACGTTAAACACACAAAAACATACCATTCCACCGGTCCCGTTCCAGATAATCCGCCATTCCCCGACTGCCCCGGTGTCGAGATCCACCTCGGCCTGCTGAATGTACGGACTTTGAAGATAAGCATCAAACCATAGAAACAAATAACACCAGTCAGCTTACCCAACCTTCCAGGCGTGGGCGCCAGTGATGTACGCCTTTCCGTCCTCGTCCCAAAACGGTTCGGTATCATAACCAGTGAAGTGGAAGTGGACGGCATTTGACCATGACCTGGGATTGTAAGGATCCTTGGCCTTGAAGATAATCTATAACTAGGAGTTAATTATAGCCCGTTAGATTGCGGATAGTTGTGTGCCGTACGTTATCCCACCTGGAGGAATCCTCCTGGGCTCGGTCATCATCCACCATCGTGGTGACCAGCCAGAAAGTATCATCGTAGAACCTCAAGGCCGGCGCCCAGATGCCGCTGTGAGGACTTAGTCAAGATATCCCTCAAACCCAGGAGCTGGCTTACCTGGTCGACCGGTTGGTCTCAGCTAGGCGAGGAAGCTGTTCTCTTCGGTTCAGGACATGGCCGATCAACTTCCAGTTTTGCAGGTCCTTGCTAGCATGGATTGGGATGCCAGGGAAGGCATTGAAGCTTGACGAGGCACAGAAGAAAGTATGGTCACGCTCAGGGACATAAATACAGCTCGGATCGGGGTAGAAGCCGGGGAAGATGGGGTTGTAGAAGGTAGAGTTCTGGCCATGTCCCCGAGAGGCGGACACACAAGTCGAGAGGCCCAGTAGGAGGGAGGTGAGGAGCATGGTGCGGGATAGATAACCTCCGTCTCTTTACTGTTTAGACATGCCTACAACAAAGGCCTACCGCCGACTTTATGTACTGTGTATAAGAGGTCCTTCCCGGCAGCCCGGTAGCTGGCCCCGCAGACGGGATGTATCCCATCCCTTTACCCGGAGTATAAACCAGGCGGGCTGAATGCCCCCGGGTGGAAATAGCCCGAAGTTGGAGGCATCTTGTGGAGGTCACGGTGGTATATGTGCCGATCTTGGGGTTTTCGAGCCTGGTGTCGGGCCCGCTAACTGTTAGTTGTGTTGTGAGGAGAAATGTGAATCAAGAAATTGGAGTCAACGGTCGAGCTAAGTGAGGTAGGTAACAAAGTCTCTCTCTGAAAGATAAGATAGACCGAGTGAAAAACGGCTTAGGGGAAACGGAAGTTAAAGTTCAAGTCCTACAACTCACCAATTGTCTCCAGACGCTCAAAGTGCAGTAACCATAAAATGCTGAAAAGGAAGGATGGCAAGAAAACGGCGCCGCTGGAGCTACAGGCGAGGAAGATCCACCCAGGCTCGAATCAGGGCCATACTTCTGAGGCCCGGGCGCTCAAGGCCACCCCACCCCCACTAATTCACCTTAACACGACCACCCGACAGCAGGGCACAAGGCAACACCCTCTCTCTGCCTTGGTATATCACAACCACGAGGCAACTTTCCGTGCAAACCAAAACGTACTCACCTAGAACACACACAAGCAAAAACTCACAATCACCATCACCCATCAAACCAACCCGCACAACCCTCAAAATGCAAGGATTCAACATGGGCCGGTACACGGCGCCCGACGACGGCAGCGGCGACAACAACAACAAGAAGAAACACCCGCTGGGCGCGCGCGCGTCCAAGCTCGCCTCGCACGGCATCCTCGTCGTGCGCTTTGAGATGCCCTTCGCCGTGTGGTGCGCACACTGCCCCGAGCCGTGCCTGATCGGGCAGGGCGTGCGCTTCAACGCCGAGAAGCGCCGTGTCGGCCATTACCACAGCACCCCCGTGTGGGCGTTCGACCTCAAGCACGCGGCGTGTGGCGGGCCGATCGAGATGCGCACGGATCCGAAGCGGGGGGATTATGTGATTGTTTCCGGGGCGAGGAGGAGGAATTATGGCGATCGGGAGAAGGATGAGGCGGCGGCTGCGGATGCGGCGGCTGCTGCTGGTGCTGGGGGTGGTGGGAGTTTGGTGGCGAGCGAGTTTGAGATTACTACGCAGCGGGAGAGGGCTGAGAAGAGGGAGGCGGCGTTCTGGAGGCTGGAGAAGACGATTGCGCATCGTGAACAGGTGAAGGAGGGTGAGAGGAGGATCGAGCAGTTGCAGGGTGTTGCGGGGCGGTGGGAAGATCCGTATTCGACGAATCAGAAGTTGAGGAAGGCGTTCCGCGCTGGGAGGCATATGAGGGAGAGAGAGACTGCGAAGGTCGAGGATTTGAAAGAGCGGATGGGGCTGGGAATCGAGTTGCTGCCGGAGAGAGAAGAGGATGCGAAGCAGGCGGAGCTAATCCGCTTTGGAGCACCGGATCCCGACTGGGACGGCGAGGTGAACAAGGCGCTTAGGAAGCCGTTGTTCGAAACCAGTTTAAGTCAGAAGAAAGATAACGAAGGGACATCAACTGGAGGGCGTAAGAAACTCAAATCAGAGATCGCTGCGGCGCGAGCGCGGGAGAACCTCGCCTCAGAAGTCATCCGCAACACCAGAGCCGCCAAGGATCCATTCCTTAATTTTGATAACAAAAAACACACACCTAGGGAACCCCCTCGGATTCCGGGGCTAAAGAGAAAAAGTCCGGTGGAAGACGCCGCAACGAAGCAGGATACATCAAAGGAGGCGACTGGCACGACCGCTTTGGTGGACTATGATTCAGATTCGGACTAACTGGCCCTCCACCTTTTAGTTCTTGTCATTTACAATTATGTACTCACGGCGGTGGATCAGGTTTGAAGAGCGACGATGATACTCTGGGTTAAAATGGTTGACATGAGATATAAAGGCTAGAGTAGGTGGTTGGTATAACTAAATGTTAATATTAATATTAATATTTTATTTTTATTTTTTTTCTCGGAGGCCGTCTCTCGCTCCTTGGTGCTGGCTTGAAATTGTGTATGGTAGTCTTACCCGTATATTATCAGCATGCGCGTAAACACTTTCATCCCAACACCAGCCATCAAAGTGGTGATTTTCTAAATTGACGTCGCTTGCTAAAATACTTGCTAAAGCCTGGAAACTAACTCCCATGTGCGCCAGATTACCCCTCGGTGAGACCAGACCGCCCTTCCGGATATGCCAGATTGAATGAGAAAGCAGGGTGGAGAAAGAAACTAGGTAAAAAGACCCAAAGCCAACCATATACAACCCCCCAGAAAGACGCGACGCGATGCCTGAAAGTGAGGGCATGATCCATACTCTTGCTTTCTCCCAATTCTAAAACCCCAACTGCCGCATCATACGTCATCCATCTGGCCCGCCGGCTGTGCCTCCTCGTCGTCATCGTCGTTGTAGCTCCCCACCGAGGAGAGGTCATCGTCGTCTTCGCTCTCGGCGCCGGCCTCGTCCGCCGCATTCTTAGTCGCGTATCTCGAGACGTAATCTGTTCCCCACACGTGCCATCAGCATTACCTCTCACCACGGTCCACAGACCAGAACGCAGAGACCCACCCTTTACTTTGGCTTCGTACGTTGTGGCGTCCCTGAGCAATAAGGCGGCCGCCTCGCCGTTGAGCGGGTCGGACGGGTTCGGGTAGCGGAGGAGCTGCGGCAGGAAGACTTCAAAGATGTTGATCATATCGTACATGGGTGACCATGTCTGGTTGATGACGTCAAGGCAAACGGATCCAGACCTGTCGTAAAAAGAGTTAACCATCCCTTCCAGTGGTATCATAAACCCCCTCGTCCGCGTCCCGGGGATGGGCCAGAGAGGTGATCGCCTTCTTCTTGGCCCCCGCCCCCCTTAATTATGCCCTACGTACAGTTCGTCGATGTTCGGGTGGAAAATCCTGTTCACGAAGCCGATGCTTGGGGACTTGTACGGGTACTGGTCCGGCAGTTCGACGTGGACCTTCCAGACGCCGCCTTCAAATGGCGCTGTGTTGGAAACCATGTCAGCGTATGGTTCGTAAACCGGCGGCCGTGCATTTCGGAGGGGGGCGGGAGATGGGACCAACTTTCGGATGGACCCTTGAACTTGACATAGAACTCCTGCCTGTGTCATGGGTGCCCCGAGTCAGTGCTTGCTAACGTTGTCGGGCGAGCCGCAGCCATGCGTCAGGCTTACACTAGAAAAGAAAACCTCAAGTTAGCGGTACGCTTGGATTCACATGGTGGAGAAGTAGGGAAAGAGGCCGGAGGCGGGAGAACATACTGTTATCGTGAACCAAGGTCACTTCGTAATCGCTCATAAGCCTGCACTGCGGTCAGCGCTCGGCCATTTCGGCATCTTCCACGCAGAAGCATACATCTTCATGACCTAGATTCCCCTGTGAGTCGACATCCAACATCGGATCCCACACTTTCTCCAACTGCCATGACTAGCCAACTTACATCAGTCTCAATACGGCGGCGAGGGGAGGCCATTTTGGGAGTTGTCTTGGGGCTCTGTTGTGGTTTTCTTCTTTGCGACACGTTCCAAAAGTCCTTGGCTTAACTGAGTTGTCGAGATGTCGCAAACGGATGTACGGCGTAAGGTAGAGGTGGCAGTTTGGGAAGAGCGGTTTGCAGCGGCGGTGGCGGATACAGTCGAAGACGGAAGGTCGGAAGTGGGGAACGCGGAAGCCGTTATTGGGACGCCGGCTACGTTAATGAGCAGATGAGGGGTTGATCAGTTGACTCAGATGTCGTGTCCCAAACCGGTACCTGATTCTCCTCGTTTGTGCCTTAATCTGCAGCTGAGGATCTGGTAGGTTCCAAGTGAATTTTAAGGAGCAAAAAAAGGATGCACACCGCGATTAGCCTTATGCACAAAATATCAGGAATGGTCGGGCCTCAAAGTGGGCGGAAAGGATCGATCTTGAAGTGGTGGGATGCCAGCCGTTTGGGCGATAAGGAAAGCCGTTGTCGCCGTCGTGGCAAGACCCACTGACTCCATTTACGTATTGACTTCCATGCCAACCAAGCAGTATGAACAAAGAAAGCTGAGCTCCGTGAGTTTCAAATCGATCCACGGGGTTAATGCAGCCTGCACATGCCCCCAATGGCCTCTGAGAAACGATTCTCTCGAGCTTTCAGACGGGGACTTTCCAGTGCATTTTGCCGTTCCTGGAAACCACTGGAGCATGATTACCCCCACCTGCTCTCCCCAAGGCGGTGACGCAATGCCACTTGCAGGGGTCAGCAACCTCTTTGTGCTTGGTTCAAACTCACCGCTTACTCAGAATCGGTCCCTTAACCAGCTCAGAACCAACAGGTCGGGACATACAAAGTACGAAGTAGAAATAGGTACTCAAAGGCAAGTTATCCGACGCACTGTCCGGCTAAGTAGGAACGTCTCCGAGCATCAGTATTCTGCGCGAAGGGAGCGACATAATACATGATGGAGAGAATATGAATGCTGAAGTGGCTAAAGGAGTGATATCCTTTCTTTTCTCTAAAGTGTGATGCTCTCTGGCATTGCTCGTGTGAGTGGATGGCAGGGCAAGGCAATGCGGGCATTTTGATCAGCTCCTGCCCCAGCTGGATCGCGGCGGTCGGTTGAGGCTGGCTCACAAGACCGACCGTCCGCACCTGCAACTTCAAAACAACCTGGAAACCCGAATGGTGTTTTAGCTCATAATCCATATGAGGTATGTATTTGCTGTTCCCTCCACGGTGTAAGAATAATTAATCTGTAAGCTGAGTTGCCTCACCGTCAACACAAATCCGAATACCTCGGTCCCCAGGCCAAAGCCCCATTTCGACAGGGGCATCGGCCAATCAAACATCTCCATCCACATGGGGCTGAATTCAGCACCAATCCGATCAGCCGAACCCCAACCCGCCGCAACCGTTTTCAGCAAAGAAAGATGACCACAACTCCAACCAGTCCCTCAGAGATAATATACTCAATTGTACGCAGCAAAAACCATCATGACTCGGTGAATAAAAGTCGCAAAAAAACCACCACAACCATTAGATTTCTGTCATCCCTTTTTAACTCTCTTACAAGCGCAAGCGTTCTTGATTTTACAGCAACCAACCCCGGATTTTTTTCAGCACTTTTACGGTGCATAACACCCCTGCAGCCCAAGTTATTCAACAAAGATACAACACACAAGACAAGTACCCATGTACCTCTCCTCCGTCGCACGGTCGCTGGCCAGGGGCACGCGACCGTCCCAACTCGGCGTCGTCGTCTCCCCTTTCCTACCACTGTTCTCGACAACAACACAACACACACAGACCAGATGGAGCTCACACTCCCCCATGGGCACGCCGCCGGCCAACCCCAGAAAGCAGGTCACCATTCCCACCCTTAAGAAGATGCACAGGGGGGGTGAGCCCATCACCATGATCACGGCCCACGACTTCCCCAGCGCCCACGTCGCCGACGCCGCGGGGGTGGACGTCATCTTGGTCGGTGATAGTCTGGCTATGGTTGCTCTGGGGATGGAGGATACAAGTGAGGTCTTGCTTGAGGAGATGCTGCTGCACTGTCGATCTGTGGCACGTGCCACCAAGGCTGCGTTCACAGTATGTTTTATTTTACCTGCCCTTCCTTTCCTCACATGCCAACCAACCCTCCCTTCTTAGATTGGCGACCTTCCCATGGGTTCATATGAGATTTCGCCAACCCAGGCACTGGAGACGGCGATCCGCTTCAAGAAGGATGGCCGTATGCAGGGTGTCAAGCTGGAGGGTGGCCAGGAGATGGTGTCTAGTATCGAGAAAATCGTCGGCGTCGGCATTCCCGTCCTCGGCCATATAGGCTTGACACCCCAGAGGCAACACATGTTTGGGGGGTTCCGCGTCCAAGGCAAAACCAAAGACAGCGCAGAGAAAGTCCTCGAGGATGCCCTCGCGCTTCAAGAAGCGGGCTGCTTCGCACTCGTCATTGAAGCCGTTCCCGCCGAGGTTGCCGCCCTCATCACCCAAAAACTATCCATCCCGACCATCGGGATAGGTGCCGGCAACGGCTGCTCGGGCCAGGTGTTGGTGCAGGTCGACATGACAGGTAACTTCCCGCCCGGTAGGCGCATTCCCAAGTTCGTCAAGCAGTACGGCAACGTCTGGTCTGAGAGCCTCCGGGCCATCGAGGCGTACCGGGATGAGGTGAAAAGCCGGCAGTACCCTGCCCCAGAACACACGTACGACATGCCCAAGCAGGAATTCGAGATGTTCGTCGAGGCCACCAAGGGTGTATAAGCACGCGAGCACGCATGCATTCGGGGTTTTGCATTTTCGGGCGCATATAATGTCTGGGTTAAGCGTTGTGTAGACAGAGCATGTCGGCGGCATTTTGATAGCGTACTAGCGAATATCATCTGTTGATAACCAAATATGTGGCGGTTTGGTTATGGAATTGGTGTCCCTGCGATTTAGTATCTAGCAATTGCAGAGGACAATCCCATGCTCCTCCTACCCAAACGCCGGCGACATCGAGTACGAAACAATGAGGTGATCGCTCGAGTCTTTGAAACACTGTAAAACACCATCAGCATCAAACCTACCAGCCTAAGAGGGAGAGCGAGAGATTTGCAAGACCAACCCTCCACAAGTTCCCGACCACCTCATCCAGCGCGGGCGCGAAGGTGTTGTTGATGTACAAGAACACGCCATCCGTCTCGGGGACTTTGAGCATCTTGCGCAGGTACGCCACGACCGAGTCGAACTTGTGCGTGCTGATGACCTTGACCAGGTCCCGCCGGATCGCTGGCGCCGACCCCACCGGCCGGAACCGCACCACCACCTTCTCCTGCGGGAAGCCGCCCGCCGCGGCGAGGGCGGCCGTGGCGTCGCGCGGCAGTGCCGTCAGGATGGTGGACGCCGCCATCGTGAGCGGCAGGTCGGGCGAGTCCCGCCCCTCGAGGACGGGGGAGGCGGGGGGCGAGTCATTGTTGTTGTTGCTGAGATTGTTATTTTGGGCAGCGCCGCCCATTTCGGATGAAATGCGTCGTTTTATTTTACTCTGAGTGTGTCGGCCACAATTTACTTAGTTGATACGGGATGAGTCGATCAAGGCGGTAGTTTGCAGAGAGTCTGTTGCAGCTGGGTTGATGATGGCTTGAGCACAGCCCCGCGCTGTTCACGATTCATGATGATTAGGCAGGTACCAAGTACTTCCTACCTGTATAAAATAGCACAGGGACGCGCCTTGAAGTACCAGGGTTAGGGTACCTTATACGGCGATCCCAACCTTTGTTTAAGTTTAGGGAGCATTCATCATAACTTTCAGGTTCCTCTTCCTAGGAAAGGCGTCATCAGTCAATTTACTTATGATCAACTTACTTACGGCTCCCCCAGATGCAACGAGATTCTTCCTCTCAACTTCTTCACCAATGGGCTTCCGTCGAGCTCTCAATCGCCAACCGGCGCGGTGCGGGTTTCCAGAGTGGGAACATCGAAGGCGCGCTGCGGGTCCAGACTGGGGCGAGCCTGCAAGCAGACCGTTGAGCTCCGAAGCATTGGAGGTCCAGACCTGACAAGGTAAGGCTGAAAGCCACAATTTTCAGGTTTAAACCAATAGGGGATGGGTGTTCCATGAGCTCTTGCCGTCTTGGCGTTTGGCGCTGGTGCCTCGCAGCCTCCAAGACCAAAAAAAGTGGCATGATTCTGCGGGCGAATGGGCCCAAAATCGAAAGCAATGCGTCAGGACAAGCGTGCCCGATTGGCTTCTGCTCGCTCCCTCGCAAACAAATTTCTCAGGTGAATCTCCGGTGCCAACTATCGAACCACCCTGCCACTATCTGAGTGACGCGAGTCCCGATCGATTCCTTCCCTTCTTTGAACGAGGGTTATCGAGGTACCGAAGAGCTGATGGCCCCAGGATGATGACAGAATCTCTTGAGCCGAGTCAAGGGTTCGTCGAAATCTTTCGAGTGTTAATTCAGCGCCAGGTATTAAGTCAACACCCGTAGAATTAAATGGCTTACAAAACTTTAAGTTGTTAACGTCTTCCATATTCCATTTCAACTGCCGTCTTGAGTTGTTGGCTGGATCGCCCTTGCCGAGTGCAATGCCAGGGTGTCATGCTCCTCCAGCTTCAACCATTCCCAACTCAATCGTGCGGAGACTTGTAATTCCAACCTTGTTTCTTACAGTTCACCCTCGCCCTGGCATCCCGGCCATTGTTCTCAGGCCGTGGAATCATTATTTGCCATTCCCACGAAAGTTGCAGTTGCGTCCACTCACTCTCATCTCCTTGTTGACCAAGGTGTATTCCATAAAACTTCCGAACCAGGATTTTGTTATACGACGGCAGTACATGCCAGCCTAGGTACACTGTTCCACGATAATATCTCGCCATTCACCATCCGTCATCCTCCGCTTCTGCTCCCCACTCCCGGCCTCTTTACTCCACGCCCGTCCTGTATAGTCTAAGCGATTCCTGATTCTCACGCTTCCGTCTCGCAGTTCGTTGTCGTTTGTTTAGACGTGCAACTCAACCCATCGACACTAGCTTATCATTGCTGTTCGGCTCCGTTACACACACCTGATTCTCGTCTCGCCATCTCGAGTGCCACTACCTGGCCCGTTAGGCCTCACTTGTGTCGACCCCAGCCCATCCAACTATCACATGCGGTATCTCGCCGTATCCCGTTCTGAGCCATCATCCCCAACTTCTGAAAGCCCCGAGGTTCTCTTCTTCTGCTCGCCGTTTTATTACACTAGTGGCAGGAACGGTGGCGATGGACTCAGACCCATTTCAACGTCTCGAATCCTTCTCCATGCCTAACAACCGAGTAGGATCTCTCTCACTTGCCATACCGTTCACTTGCTCACGTTTGTCAGCCGGTTGATTCTGCCACCCAATCTTTCTTGACCGGAACCTCAACGCAACCTCCCTCACCATGGGAATCAACCGGGTTGCGTCTCGACTCGGGGTTGACCATGTCACCGTCAACAGTCCCCGCAACCCAGTCACTGGATTCCGTTACCCAAACGTCCCCCCTTACCGGACTCACAGCCATGTCCCATGACGTCTCTTCAAGGTCAAATCTACCGGCTCAGGGGATCCAATCCAGGTCGGTCCTGCCAGCGCGGGGCCAAAGATCGAGGGATGGACATGAGAGAAAACGATCGAGGTTGAGCCTGGACACAAATACCCCGCTTGACTCGGTCGACTACTGGATCGACTTTGACAATGATGACAGCCTTGCCAGCATACCCGAGGCATTTGAACCTCGGAGCACGGCCAAGGTCAAAAAGAACAAAGCTCCCATGCGCCGGTGCGTGTTATACTCGAGATGTCTTAACCCCCTTTATCCATGTTCACGTAGTAGCACGGTGACTGACACCCTTGAAGGAGGCCTACCAATCTCGCCCCTTCCATTTCCACAGCGAGATCCGACGAAATAGTTGACGACAGTGCGCTTGACAACGCGTTATCGGATGAGGATGGCTTCTCATCCGTCAATCTCACTGACCAACTGTCCCAGATCAATACGTTACCACCCCTAGAAGTGCCGCCGCGGGAGGGTTTGTATTCGACGCCCCTGAGTTGGGAACGGCCGCAGCCGGGAATACATATGGACTCGCCAACCGGCCCGGGTTTGTCGCAGAAAGAAGCGGAACAAAGAAGATTGATTGCTATTGCCATGAACCCGAGGTCGACTATGGGGGGTCTTGGGTTGGGCGCCGGCTTCGACTTTGGTGGGATGGGCGCTGGTATGCCCATGGCGTTTGGGGCTGGATTCGAAATCCCGAGCATAAGTCATGACCCGAGACCGGTATCTCCACCGCACCTTTCCGGAACGCAAGGCCGTCCAGGGCCGTCAAGTTTGCCAAAGAAGCGAGGGGGCGTGGGCGAAAAGGGCGAAAAGGCCAAGGAGAAGCCGAAAACGGGCGAAAGGGCGGCTCACAATGACATTGAGCGAAAATATCGAACGAACTTGAAGGATAAGATCTCAGAGCTAAGGGATGCGGTCCCGGCCCTCCGGACAATATTGGAAGAAGGTGACGAGGATGGAGAGACACAGCCATCGAGAGCGGCAAAAATCAGCAAGGTTCGTTCGGTTTGTCTGTATTGAGAAGGGCAGCATGATGCTGACACGATTGTAGGGCACTGTCTTCACTAAAGCAATCGAATACATTCACTTCCTCGAACGACAGAACAAGCAAATCACCCAAGAGCACCGAAATCTCTCGAGGCGACTGCAGGCCTTTGAACAACTTCTGACCGTGACGGCCCAACAAACATACGGCATGCCAGCTTACACCAGCGCCCTTTTCGATCCAAGAGGGTTCTGTTAGCGCATCTCGCCACCCAGTTACTTGCTACGGATTTTCCGTGTGCGCGTATATTTTGGGAATTCCCATGTTTACCCACGATCATGAGACGGAACGGGAAACGGAGTGGAAATATTCGGGCATACTTCGACGGCGTAGCATCGCGGAAGTCCTTTTTCTTTACGGCATTTATCGCCAAAGTTCTAAAGGAGGCGGCGTAGAGGGGGTTCAAAAATGGTTCTTCACTTACTTGCTACGGCTTGTTCAAACGTCCCGATATGTTCTATCATGGGTGCTTTGTGTTTCTTGTAGTTACTGGCATGCGGAATCTACCGCATGCCTGGCATTGATGGCATCGTGGAAACAGTACAGACTAGATCATCTCCATACAATCCCAACGGTCACTAAAAATGTCTTTACCTCACCCGTCCAGGCGGTTCGTTCAGATCTTATTATGAGGAATAGAGTTGACGGAGGGCAGTAAAAACCGGAGGGTTAGGTGTGGATAATAACCACCGAGAGGGAAAGTGAAGACATTGATGAATTCATGTTCTCTTTCTACCATCTTCCACCAGTCATGTTTTTACAAAGTAATATACAGGCCACTCTGGCCAGGCCAGTCTACCTCAGCGCCTCGATGTCCTCCACCTCCTTAACCGCTTCAGGCGTCAACACCAGCGGCTCCTCCTCGTCCACACACACGCTATCCTCAATCCTCACCGCCAACCCCCTAAAATGCTTCGGAAACCTCTCATCATCAGGGACATAAACCCCCGGCTCGATAGTAACGCAATGCCCCGCCTTGAGCGGCACAGACCGCGGATACCCAGGCACGTCATGCACATCCAGCCCGACGTAGTGCCCGACATGATGCGGAAACAGCGTGCCCATCACATCGCCCCCCCGCCGCCCCATCAACCCCCCACCACCAAACTCAAACCCCAACCGCCCCAACTCCCCCTGCAGCGCCTCCTCCGTCGCCCGATGCACCTCATCCAGCGACAACCCACTCCGCGCCGTACACAACCCCACGCTCTTGCGCTGCACCGCCAGCACGGCCGCGTACAGATCCCGTTGCGGCGCCGTAAACTTCCCATCCACGGGCCACACGCGCGTGATATCCGTCACGTACCCGCCGCGCTCCCCGCCCGCGTCACAGCCAGCACCGTCTCGCCGCCGCGCAGCCGCGCCGTGTT